TGGGAATACACTTAGGGACAGTACAGGAAGGTAAAGAACTCAGGAGTGTAGAAAGAAAAGATCTTAGCACAGCCTGCTCTACATGCAGAACACAATACTGCCTCTATCTAAGGAGAAGGGCAAGGGGAATCTGACTTCAGGATGAGGAGCCTCCAAGTAGCAGTCTGACATAGTACTAGATATATCAAGGCGGAGCTACTTATTTGTTTAACCTCACCCCTGCGGTTGAAACCTACATACATTGGTTTTACAGCCAGTTCTGATAACTATGTATCATTTCTTTCCTTGCTAGGAAATACAAGTAGGAAAGTGTTAAGTACAGTGGGGTCTCTACTTAAGAACGTCTCTACTTAAGAACAATCCAACTTAAGAACAGCTCCATTTGCTAAATTTTGTTTCTACTTGAGAACAGAAATCCAAGATAAGAACAGGAAAAAAAAACCTTTCCTGCTCTTTTTTAACCTTAGGTCATCTTAGGTTAAAAAAAATTCTCCCCCTAGTGGTAGAGTACGTATTAACCAGCTTTGCATTAGTTCCTATGGGAACTAATGCTTCAATGTACGAACACACCTCTACATAACAAAAAAACAGCCAGAACGGATTAATTGGTTTTCAGTCCATTCCTATGGGAAATTTTGCTTCAACTTAAGAACGTTTCAACTTAAGAACACCATTCCAAAACGGATTAAGTTCTTAAGTAGAGGTTCCACTGTAGTTTCTATGGACGGAAAAGAGCAGATACGGATTAAATGGTTTTCAATGCATTCCTATGGGAAATGCAGATTCAACATAAGAACTTTTCAACTTGAGAACCACCTTCCAATACGGATTAAGTTCTTAAGTAGAGACCCCACTGTATGTGTTTGGTCCTTCCTTCACAAGTCTGACCTACCTCACAAGGTTGCTTTAAAAATAAAATGCAATTGATTGTCCTGCTTCGGCCTCATTGGAGGAAATGTGGGATGTCACTAATGCAAAAATAGATAAACGGGTTAGCCACTCTATAAACAGAATACTGGAACAGATACACCTTTGGTCGGATCCACCATGGCTCCCAGGTTAATAGAGGGATTTCTGTATTAGTTCATGAAGCACAATATCAGACACTTCTAGAATCTCAAAGATGGACACGTTTGGATGTCACTAATGCAAAAATAGATAAACGGGTTAGCCACTCTATAAACAGAATACTGGAACAGATACACCTTTGGTCGGATCCACCATGGCTCCCAGGTTAATAGAGGGGTTTCTGTATTAGTTCATGAAGCAAAATATTAGACACTTTTAGAATGTCAAAGATTGTGACCTAAGTGATAATGGACTAGAGACCCCTTGACATATCTGCGGAGACAGAGTCTTGTCTCAGAACTTGGAGCATTACCTTTTTGGGCCACAATTCCAAGAATATCCCAACCTTTATTGCCGATGGCCATCTTGGTTTAGGGAATTTTGGGAGTTGTGGTCCAATAAAGTTCCCAAGCTCTGTCTAGTTCATCAGTATTACAGGTTCTGTCTCACAGCTCATTGCTCTCTGTCACTCCCATACAGATCGGGGCAGGTTTGGGAGGGGATTGGAAAGAGGGGGGAATGATTTCCTCTAACAGTTTCTGTTAATAAAGTTCCCAAGCTCTGTCTAGTTCATCAGTATTACAGGTTCTGTCTCACAGCTCATTGCTCTGTCACTCCCATACAGATCAGGGCAGGTTTGGGAGGGGATTGGAAAGAGAGGGGAATGATTTCCTCTAACAGTTTCTGTCCTACTAATGTATATGCATTGGTACAATTTATTTGTCAATTTTTTTAAGTAGTCTTTAAGAAGGAGGAGTTGGTGCCAGCCATCAAGGATAAGAGGAGAGCTCTAGCAGCATGCAAAGCCTGTCCTAGTGAGTGCAACTTGCAGGCTCTTCAAGCTGCTCGTAGCAAAGTCAACAGGCTACCAGATGTTCTAATGATTATTGGCTTCAGCTCTGCTCTCAGAAACAGATAGCAGTGGACACAGGTAACATCAAGGGAATGTATGATGGTATTAAGCAGGCTTTAGGTCCAATACAGAAGAAATCTGCTCCCTTGACGTCTGCTACAGGTGTGATCATCCAGGACTGAGCACAGCAGATGGAACGCTGGATGCAGTGCTACTTTGAGCTATATTGCAGAGAGAATGTAGTAACCAAAGAGGCACTAAATACATCAAGCACCTGCATATCTTGGAAGAGTTGGACAGCGAACCAACTTTAGCAGAAATAAAGCGTCCTTGGATTCCCTTGCCTTCAGCAAGGCACCTGGGAAGGATAATATCCCTGCTAAAGTGCTATAAAGAGATCATCATCACCGAGCTGTATGAAATCTTTCGTCTTTGCTGAAGGCAAGGTGGAGTACCACAGGACATGAAGGATGCAAACATCATCACATTGTATAAGAACAAAGGAGATAGGTGACTGCAATAACTACCGTGGCATCTGTCTTCTCAGCGTTGTAGGGAAGCCGCTTGTGCGTATTGTGCTGAACAGGCTCCAGGTGCTTGCAGACAGCATCTATCCAGAATCACAGTGCGGATTTTGAGCTAATAGATCTACCAATGACATGGTATTCTCCCTCAGACAGTTGCAGGAGAAATGTAGGGAACAATGACAGCCACTCTTTGGGGACTTCATAGATCTCACAGAGGCCTTTGATTTTGTTAGCAGGGTGTCACGTTTCGGGGGGTTTCAACAGCAAAGTACAATAAGCCAGTCCAATATCAGAAGTTTGGAGGATGCAGAGCCAATACCAAAATGCCAAAGCCAAATCACACACCATAAGCCGAAATCAGGGTCCAAAGCCAAATCACACAATGTAGTCTGGGGTCAGAGTCCAAAGCCAAGGGTCCCGAGAACAAGGTTCAATGTAGTCAGGAGCATGGATGGGAGCCAGAGATTTGACTTGTTGCTTCCACAAATTTGCAAGCCTCTGGGTGCAGATTTTATAGCAACAGCAGTCATCTAAACACCTCATCCTGCTAAAACTCAGGGCTGGTTGACCTGATGTTCCTATGGGAAACATTCATGCGGGCTTTGGATCTTCGTGTCATGAGTCCTTGCCGAAGCTTCCCCCTCACTCTGGCTACTGGGGGAGGAGAATCGTGGTGATTCATCTGCCTGCAATTCTGATTGCCCAGCATTCTCCTCAGCTGTTATTAACCCCTTAGATTCCAGATCTTCTTCAGCAGAACTCTTGACACAGGGACAGCCTTTTTGAAATACTTCCCAAGATTGGATGTCCACCTTGACTCTTTAACATCATCAGGTCCTTTCATGAGGAAATGAAGGGCACTGTAGTTTTTGATGGCTCGGCATCAGATCCCTTTGACATTCAAAGTGGAGTAAAACAGGGCTGTGTCCTCATGCAACCCTGTTTGGGATCTTTTTTGCTGTCATGCTGAAGCACGCCTTTGCAACTGCAACAGAAGAGGTCTAATCCGGTTACTTGACCTCGATGCCCATGGGCCAGCCTGAACCCGAGAGGGTTCTTCGGGTTCGATGTCATCTGGGTTCGTTGTCAATAGTGGGGTTGTCTCTTCATGCCCTGTATATCCACAGGGTACATGGTTCTCTGCCCCGGTGAAATCCCAGGGTCCTGGTAATAACCCAGTTTCCTCAGCTCCTCCAGATGCCATATTCTCTTTTCTTCTCTCTCCTTCTCTGCTTTCTTCTTTTCCTCAACTAACTTGTGCCGCCACTCTCTAGTCTCCCTTTC